CTTAAAATGTTTAGGGAGAAATGGAATACTGGTGTGTATTTTTTATTTAAAGTACCGAGACCAGCCATATACTGTATGTTTAAGTTCCAAAATTAATATCGTTTATGCGTTTATGGCCTTCACATGCGTTACAGTATGCTCCTATTCTTTTTATGCTCAGCTACTACGATTTCCCTTCAGTGGTAAAATTCCATATAAATATTCAATGCTTAAACGGGCACAGTAAAGACACTTACTGTAAATCTTTCTAGGACCGACCAACTGACCAACCAATCACGTACCGCGGTATTTTGCGTCATTGCGCGTCACGATGCGCGAGGCCATAGCCAATTACCTCCAGTACGTGTCTGTACCGCGCACTTTAAATGGCTGCATCTGTATATTGACTATAATAAATTACAATTGTTTTTTTATTTAGCCTGTAAATGTTAATTATACAGAAACTGACCTGCAAAGATAAAAAATATTTACTTTTTTATGGTAAGAATACTGACAGCAGTGTTTATTTTTTCAGGTTTCTGCATGTTTGTGCTGAGTTTAGTGAAGAAACATTACCGCCTGCAGTTTTATATGGTGTGTATCAACAGAAAGTACTGTAACTACTGCTATATGAAATTAAAGGGCATCTGTCATTCTAACCAATGAGCACTTCATCTTTAATGTCCTTAAGTGCTGTATTAATTGTATGAATACTGGTAGGGGCCCTAAACTGGTTCTTGAAATGCTTTTGGAGACATGTATGTATCCTTATGAAATACTCTTCTTCCTTTACTGAAATTTCAGTGTTTTAACATACTTCTGCTTAAATGACTATATAGTTTCATCATTCTTAGCAGGCTATTATAAAATTAAAATATTCCTAAACATTAATCAAATACCGTTCAATGAGTTACATTTATTTTGTAGTTTTGATACATTATGTCAAAATAACTGTACCTGATAATGTATAATACTATATGTGTGCTAAGTGTTCAGGGTTTTTTTTTTCAAATCTTTATATAACCAGACAAGCGAATTAAGAACCAATGCTCATTTACAATGACAGCCTGGAGAATACCCACTTTATACAAAAGAATTTACTGGAAGAAAATAAAATAGAAATACCTTGCTCAAGGAGCAATGTGAGTGTCTCATCTTAGACATGAATCCATGGCTTTCCAAAATAGATTAAGTGCTCAAGAAACATGTATATGATTTAAAACATCGTGTAGGTGATAAACTTAGTAACTTGTTCTCATAAGAAAACGACAGTCTGTTTAAATGTAATTGCATAGGAGAATCTTTAGTACAATATCACATTTAGATTAGAGGTATAGATACAGAATTGAGGACTTTACTGCATGTACTCTTTACTTAAGGAACATGCATTTATGGTTTAGAATGTATTTACTAGTTTATGATGCTTGATAAATTAATTGTTCTCAGAAATACCAAATCTTAAAATAATGATATTACTAAGTAAATATATACACTGTTTAAACCTCACTACATGACTGAGGCACCTTAGAGAGACAGGAGCTATTACTGTACACAGACAACGGCCTTTCAACTATCTGCTGATTATTAGTTGTCAAAGTAATTTTGTGCACTTCAACTAATTAAGGTTTACCAAAGTGGGTAATTTTTTATGCAGGCAGCTCAGTTTAGTTTTTTTCATTTTTCTTTGCAGTTTGTGCTGGCATTTAACTTTTTTCACAATTAAAGGTTTTTAAGCATTCAAGCTGTGCTTGACATATTAACATAAAATATGTATAGATAATTTGTAATTCACCAAAATGCAAAATTATTGGAAGCGGGTAAATACTTTTGCAAGGCACTATAGATGCATTTTTAGTTATTCCTTTGTATTTGATTTCTTTCAGCTTGAATAAATCATTCTGTCCATGTTACAAGTAGTTGACAAAAATGGAAACACCTTGGTTAATGTAGAATACTAAGTACAGTATATTGAAAGCAAGGCTTCCACATAACTGTGGATCATTTGTTCATTTACCCCCAAAAAAACATCCCAGAATACTTAGGGTAGTGTACAAAAATATAGAACAGGCCTTTTTGTCTACAATTATAGCTAGCATGAGAGGTAATGCCATTGACTTGGAGAGAGTGGTAAATTGTTGGGGTGTGTTGGAGGTTCAGTTAGATTCAGTTACCAGGACAGTTGAACTTTGTGATGTTTAATGAGCAACGGTGTCTAAGGTGATGTCAGGAGTAAATCCAAAGGGAAAGCAAACTTCAGCATAGGGCAGTGGTTCTCAAACTTTTTGTACCAAGTACCACCCCTGATCAAACCAAAGCATCCAAGTACCACCTACAAGTCATCTTCACATAGGAACCCCAGAAAATACACTCTCACACACTCACATACACATATAATAAATATTATAATAATAAACTTGATTTGATATAGCACCTTTAAAGGTGGCTTCTCAAAGCACTTTACAGAAAAAAAACAGGAACAACAACAAATAACAATAAACAATAAAAAAGCACCATTTCAGTGAGAGGGGTGAGCCTCTTTAGTCGAGTAAAGCATATGTGAATTAATTTTTTGAGCCTTGATACAATTCACAACAGAGTCTAACAAATTTTAAATCGTCAGGTATTTTCTTGACGACAAAGGTCTCGCGGTGGATGTTGCAATGCATCCATTCATTTCTGGAGCAACCTCTCTAATTAGTGAAACTACACCGCTCTTTTGGCTTGTCATCGCTCTAGCACCGTCTGTACAAACTCCGACACATTTTATCCAGTCGATGCCATTCTCTTCGATAAATTCATTCAGAAGCTGAAAAATGTGCTCTCCTGTAGTTCCTGTTGGTAGCGGCTTACAGAACAGAAAGTCCTCATCGGAAGTACCCTCAAACTCGTATCTAACGTAAACAAGCAAATTGGCCAAATCGACTACAGACTCATCTAATTGCAGTGAAAAGCATCTTCTCATCTTAATGCGCTCTATCAGCGTACTTTTGATATCATCCACCATTTCAATAATTCTATGGGTGACTGTGTCTTTCAGAGGGGGCAGCAGGTCGAGCTGTTTAGGAGCTTTTTCTTCACACATAATACATGTCAGCTCTTTTGCCAACAGTAAATAAGGTTCTTCAAAAATAGTGTGGGGCTTACCTGCTTTTGAAATCCGCGAGCTTGCATTTTTCCCAATTTCCGTTTCAGGAGTCTGTTTCAGAAGTTAAAAGAAATTTTAATATCATGCACATGGAAGCGAAACACAGAGATGCTCAGTGTATTTTTCTCAAATTTACCTAGAACAGTTCTTAAATATGTTAAGAGCTATGTTAAGCTTTCCTGTTCTCACAAAATTACCAGCATGCATTTCTAAGCATTCCTGTTTTTACAACATTGGCATTGTTCCAAAATCACGCACATTCTCCTACTTCCCTATTTGCTGGAGATACGTTTTTTTTTAAATACAGTTGGTCACTTCTTTTCAGTTGGTAGCATGCATTTCTATGCTTTCCCGTGCTTACAAGATTGGCTGTGTTCCAAAACCACGCACATTCTCCTACCTCCGTATTTGCTAGAGATAGCTTTTTTTTAAACACAGTTGGTCACGTCTTAACACGCATTCCTATAGAGTGGTATAGAATTACATTGTAGCTCTGTGTCCACTCAAGTATTAGCGCACGCAGTATTGTAGTACTAGGCTGCGTAATCGACCTTATTAAAATAGAAAATATGAAAACCTGTCCCGATTTTTCAGCACACACAACAAAGTTCCAGGGTCATATGGCGTACCAGCTGGCAGTGCTCCACATACCACTCCTGCTACGCATACCACAGTTTGAGAACCACTGGCATAGGGCAACAGTAAGTGGAAGTGCATACTCCAGGATCATGATATCCATGCATTAATTTAAAATGCAGGATAGAACAGGAGAACAACTGCAGATCAATTGACTGCAAATTTTAACCTGGGGAGAGAACAGCCAGTTTAATCAAAAATGGTCCTTCGAGAGCAATGGAATACCAAGAAGTGGAGACATCTGATATGATCGAATAAATTATCCTTCACAATGTTCCACAATGTTGTTGGACATATTTTCTTGGCATGGTGTGGGAGCACTCTTTCGCTTAAAGACAAGGCCAATTCTAATTGCTACATAATGTTACTGAGTGATCTTCTTTGTTCCAAATATTGCAGCATTTCTTTCCTCCCAGAAGGGGTGCCCTCATCCACAGAGGATGAATGTGGGTCATCCAGTCTTTTGATGAGTGTCAAAAAATATGTTATCCATCTGTCACTGGTTTCTCAATCACTAGATCTGAGCAATATTGAGCATTTATTGATTACTATGGAAAAAGGTCTGAGATAGCTTTGTAGACCTCCACCAGCCAGGTTTGAGTCTATTGATTTTCTCTTGGAGGAATGTTGCTTTCTTCTTCCTGCACAATTCCAGATTCTGGTTGAATCTGTGCCACAGCACACAAGCTGTACCGAGTGCTCATTGAACCCAAAGAGCTATTACTTGATTTTACATTCAGTTTTTTGTGTTCTACCTTTGGCACCCAATATTTAAAATTACTAACCATGCTTGCATTTCTTGTTGACTGTGGACTTACATTACAATTGTGGCATTTAATTTTTCTTATCGTTTTCCTATATTGATGTGGAAGTGTTATTATAACATAATCATGCAGATCCTTAAAAATAATGATTTTGTGATTTACATGTGTTTTAGATGTTTTTGTACCTTAATTACCTTAATTTAAAATTGATATGTGTTATGTTTGCACTTGCAGTTTGCATGGACCCATGTGACACTCTTGATTGTAGTCACACAGTCACACCTTGTCATTCAGAACCTGTGTGAAGGAATGATATGGTAAGAAGGGATCAGGTCTGACTTGATAAGCCTGTATTTCACACGAATCTGGAAGTAACTTCAGTTTCTCCAGCTGTAAGTGCTTTTCATCCCAAATTAAGTCTTTCTGGGATATATCAGGAAGATATCACATTCTTTCAGCAAATAAATCAAATGAGTCAGTACCTTTTTTAATCACATTTGAGCTACACTGTATGTAGCATTTAGCATTTCCCATGAAAATGGCGAACAACCTAGTGAAAAGGGTCAAATAGAGTGCCATGAATCATAGGTGTATCATATGCCAAAGTCATCACAGTCTCTCTCAATCATGCACTAATGCGTAATCACTTAGTAATGTTCATATCAAACACATATTTAACACCCTCTAAAATGTTTTTTTCGGTTTATGATGCTGTTATAAATTCATAGTCACTTGGCGATATGGAGGTGCAGTTAACAGTGTTTAATAAGGGTAAAAAGTTAATACAATTCTGACACCAAATTAAAATGCTGGAAAAAATGCCCCTATAGTCAGTAATAAAAATAGTGTGCTATTGTATGTGGTTTCCTGACAGTAGTGCAAATAAGAAGTACAAACTTATAAAACAAATGAATACTACCACATAAATACAGTGAGTCTCTGAGTCGCTCACCCCTTCAAACATGGATCAATCGTATTGAGACATAGCAGTCTGAGACATAGCAGTTTAAGTAGATAGGAGTAGTAAGTAGTGGTTCCTACACGGCAAAAACAGTCCGTCATTTTCTACATAGTTCAAGGCTTCTAGTTTTCATTGCTTTTTCAGGTTTTCAACAAAGTATCCTTGCGACAGTACAAAATTGTACATTTGTAGTTCTGTACTGTAAAATTTTTCAGAAACTGTATTTTTTAATTTCTCACAGCATATGATTACTGGACATGGATATTTAATGCTAAAAAAGATTTGTCTGTGGATTGCTTATACAACATTTAGAAAATGATCAAAAGCACACAGGCAAGCTGGAGGATGTATAAGATTGTTGGATGAATCAAATGCAAGGCAAACACATTTGGAACAAATATTGTGTCACCAGCCATATTCCGTGGATTTAAATTCAATCACGAGATAAGCTAAAGATGAACCAACTTTGTTTCATAATTATAAACTTGTTATTTTAACAGTATTCACATTTATTTTAAAGGTATGTTGCATTTAAAAAAATCAAAACTGAAAAATATGATATTTAGGTGTTGATGTATTCAATTATCCATTACATCCTTAGAAAAAGTCTTGAACTTTGGAAACAAATAATTTGGATGCAAAATTTGTACTTTGAGCTTATGTTTTTTAGGTTCATAGTTCCAATATCTATTGTGATCTGCAATGACATCATGGCTTATCTTTTTGGTTTCTTCTTTGGGCGAACACCTTTGATTAAGGTAAAACACATCTCTCTTAATGTATGTAAATTACTGTGTGTGTTATGTACTTCATAATTTACCTAATTGTATTATGTGTCCTTTTATCTGTGCTAAATAAGCTAGTGTCAAACTTTATCTTAATATTAAAAAATCAATTCATATGACTTTATAGAAACCCAAAGCAAATAACTTCATTTGGCTTCACAGTTCTTATGATACCTCTTGCTTAACAATTTGTGATTATAAAGTCTGCTGTGACATACAGTACACATGCAACCACTCAGAATGGGCAGCAAAAGTCTTCCCCAGCAGGCTGCTTATGGCACATAGTAATATTATTCGGCTTGCCAAACTTAGCTTTTCATTGGCCAAAGAAGATCGAAAGGTGGCAATTGTAATGCAGTAGTTGTTATGAATGGTTGCTTAATTAATCTGATTTTCTTCTTTAAATCCACTTAATATGAAATATTAATGTGAAATTTTGATAGCTGAAAATAAAAATTACAGAAGCATAATAACATCTCTGAACATCATTAACAATATTTATTTATGAATATGAATTTAAATAAAAACAATGTATATTCATGTAGTATTTTGGCATCTTAATTAATTAAATATTGCAATATTTAAATACAGACTCAAAAATATATTAATAATGCATGAATGAGCAAACAAAGTTTGAGTAGGGAGCTCTGTCAGTATGCGTAGGCTGCAAAGGAAGAAGTAAAGATTTATTCCATTCTGAAATGAAAAGAGGCTGTGGGGCATTAAATGCCAATGTTGTAGTACACAGTATTTACCTTATACAGTGTTTTTGTACATGTATAACAGGGAAATGTCTTTACAGCTCTCTCCAAAGAAGACCTGGGAAGGTTTCATAGGAGGTTTCTTTTCAACAGTTGTGTTTGGGTTCATAGTAAGTTCAGTCCATTTTTACTTGACTATTTTTACTTTATAACCAAATATGAAATTAGCACAAAACGAGCAGCAGGTTAAGTGTTCAGCAGTGTTTGGTCATCATTAAATTCAGATGTTTATAAGAAACAAAACATAGCAGAATCAGAAACTGCTTACAGGAAGTAATTATATGGTATACTGTTTCTTGATGGGAGTTCAGATTTTAGAGATATTATGTTGTTGACTAGACAAAAAATTAAATATGCTAAACTTTAAAAGATGTTTTTTGTATTTATCTGCCTAACATTAAATATAATTTGTAAAATTATAGTTTAACAAGGCTCATCAAATCAGCTTTGATTTTTTATTACATTCAATATGTGGCTTGCAAGGTATGCTTTATTCTGTTTCAGAACTGTTCATCACTTTATACCTGTTGCTAGAAATCTGAATGAAAGTAGATTGTAAATTTTTGTAATTTTAGAATAATGATTTCTATTTTCTTTTTAGTTTGCATACCTCTTGGCACAGTACAGATACTTTGTGTGCCCTGCAGAATACGACAGTGAGAGTAACAGTTTTGCTGTGGAATGCGAACCTTCAGAGCTCTTTGTGATGCAGGAATACACTCTTCCTTCACTGATGCAAAGCCTTCTGAGATTGGTAAGGAAAAATTTATATAACATTTAAAAGATGTTATGAGCATAAAGAAGAAAAATAATAATAAGTTCAATTTCAATTTAATTAGAATTAGATGTGTTATGCATATACCACAGTTACTGTAGGTCATGTAAACTTTTGTGAATGAAGAGTTAAAAGCGACTTTAAGGCAGATATCAAATTATTCAGCCAGAACCCCCAACAAGAGTACAAAATGATAAAATAATCTGTTTTGAATAGAAATATAAAAAATATAAGCAACTTCAGATCTTTAAGCATTGTTTAATCATGAAAATATACAGACATACAAGGTTTATGAATTTTTTACAAATAATCAATTATGTTTTCTTTGTTCTCTGCCTTTTTTACCTGTTTTGACTTGTCTGTCTTGCCTGTTGTTGTTGGGTTCCATATTTGTCTTCCATGGATGTGGTGCAGTGAAAAGCGCTTCTCATCCTTTTGACTGTGTTATGATTCTGTAGATAGCAATCTTTTTAAAACACTGATCTTAACGGTACACAATAGATTATTGAGTGGTACACTCATCTACGTCGGAATCACTACTACATGCATACATGCAATGTAGCTTTTATGCTACAGTTAATAAACACTTCTACTACCTTCTAATTGCCCTTACATTTTATAGTTTTAAACCATTTAATATTTAGTAAAGGTCTTTTGCCACATGGATTGCAGACTCAACGCTCATTTTAGCTTTTATAGATACAGGAAGAAATTTGAGACACTAGCTTATTTCAGGTGTTACTGTGTGTATGCCAGCAGGTCACATTGCATAGTTATATCATTATATGTTGTATACAACTGTTATTTCTATAGCAGAACTCAATATATAGAATAAACAGAAATCTCTATTTTGAGGCAATGTAAGATTAATTGAGTGATCCAAAATGTTCCAGTCCATTGTTTGTGATTGTCATTTGCTCTTTTTATCTTTCTTTGCAGAAAACCATGAATCTGTACCCCTTTCAGATCCACAGCATTGCTCTTTCTACATTTGCGTCTCTAATAGGACCCTTTGGTGGTTTCTTTGCCAGTGGTTTCAAAAGAGCTTTCAAAATCAAAGTAAGGGGAACACGTGCCCCATTCTTCTTTTCTTCTGTAGCTTGGAGAATATTTCATTTTATTATAACTACACACCAACCTTGATGAGAATAATGCACGGATTGTTGTAGTGGCAGTTAAAAGCAATGCTAAAAACAACTAAGTCCATATAAACCTCATTCTCCTCCAAACCTAAATATTTCACTTTTCAGATCAAAAGATTAGCAAGACTACAAAAGCTGATATTTAGCTGTAATGCTTTGCAGAGAACAAGGACTGCACATTTTCAACATAAGGACTATAAACAACACATAACTATATGTTATTTTTTATAAAAATAATGCATTGACTGGTAAGTTTCTTTTAGTGCTCAGCTTCTTTTGTTACTTTTTACATCAACAGGATTTTGCAGACACTATTCCCGGACATGGGGGAATCATGGATCGTTTTGATTGTCAATATTTGATGGCCACATTTGTTCATGTTTACATTGCAAGCTTTATCAGGTATTTAAAGACAGTGTATAAGCTGCTGTGGTCTTTGACTTACTTTTTTGCTGTAGTGTGTTTTTGTCAGAACTGGCAGATATTATAGTTATTGTAGTACCTTCTTCCCCAGTTATAACAACGCTCCCTTTTCTGAGAATTTGGCTGGAAGTTCTGGAAGGTTAAAAATAAATCACTAATTTCTTTTTAATTTGTGAATTAAGTGAATATATTTCTTTGTGTAGTTTTTTCATGATGATGATTTCAAGCCTCAGTATGGACGTATGAATATAGAAAATATAGTACTGTATTAATATGAAATAATCCTGTATGCACATTGAATTATTTTCTTCAGTTGAGGTGATAAAGCTAGAGAGTCACCGTAATGTAAGTATGTGATCTAAACTGTATCTTTCTATCTTCTAGGGGACCCAACCCCAGTAAAGTGCTACAGCAGCTCCTCGTCCTCCAGCCGGAACAGCAGCTCAGCATCTTCAACACACTGAAATCTCATCTTAAGGAGAAGGGCATGATCCCTGCTGCAGTTTAGGGTATATAAAGACTGAAAGGCACTCACTCCTTGCTTCTCTACCATCTCAATTAAAAGGACCTGTGGAGCAGAAATGTCCTCTGTATCTACAGATCATTGCCGGATAGAATGTTAAGCTGAATGTTTCTTATTTGTCATTACTATGAAACATTAGAACTTTTAACATATTGATAACATTAGCAAACACCATGCTATCTGGAGTATGAGTATTGCATGACACATTAAGCATTGGAAGAAATTAGATGGGGATTCATCTTCAAAAAGAATCCACGAAAAAGTTTGGTAGCTCTGAAGATTTCAGAATATCTTCTAATGAGCAGTGGAAGCACATACTCTGTGAATATAGGATATGAATATGCAACACTTTATGAAGCTGCTTCAGAATTTAAGAAAGATGCAACATTTTAGTATCAAGGTGCTCTAAGGATTTTAGGCATATATTTAGTATGTATGAGCAGTGGAGGTACTGTCATTTCATTATCTTGTTACTCTAGGACACTGATGACCAACTGCAGGTACAAATTATCCCACTAACAAAATGTTTTATTGTGTAAATGTGTTTTGTAGGTCTTACTCTTGAAAACAGAGCATAAAAGCATCAAAATATATATTAAGTACTTTTAGTACTTAGGTATGCATATATAGATAATTATTTTTGCTCCTCTGTCTTTCACAAACTGAGGTGATGTACTTTTAGAATAGAGCTGCATCTAAGGTGTCTGCACAGGCATGGCAATAGACACTCTATATATGACTTAATAGCAAAAGCATATACAGTACATACAGTATGTGGATCGGTATTTACTGTATATATATATTTTAGAATCAGAAAATTTGCTACTTATTTGATTTGTCTAGATAATAACACATGAACAATGTTGTGCAAAAAGGTGAATGGGATTTTCTATTTTATTTTGTAGTGTATAGTATTGAGTATCTTTATAGAGATGATTTCGTGGGTAAGGAAAAAAACAAAGATTAGTTGCTAGGGCAAGGCAGTTAGGTTGTATTGATTCTTTTGCATTGATACTGTGTAAAGATACTCAATTTGCTAATGATTGCACTGTGATCTGTGTGTTTATCATCCTGTAAACCAAATATATACTGTAGTAGTACTTCAGTTGTAGCTCAACTGTTTTTGCAATTGCTGTGTTTGGAATTCCTCCAGATAGTTTTTGCAGTCTGATTTCAGATACTAACAATACATGTTCTTATAGCAGATTTATGTTTGTTTTCTTTGGTTAAAACAAAGTGTTTTGTTTATTTAGTCAAAGGTATTTACTCACTTTGTTCAAAAAGTAATAACCTTTGTTGCTATTCTAAGTATGAAACATTTCAGTCTGTCACATACTTGGGTGTCATCATCTGTGGGTTTAAATTCTGTTAAAAGAACAGAGGTATCTCTTAATAACCTGTTACACAGGTGCTACATTTAATTTAGAAAAGCTGATAGCATATTTGATTTAAAAAGAGGAGTACCAGCCCTGTCCACAGTAAAAATACAGTTAACCAAAGTAATGTATGTTTTAATTGCATTAATAATTTGATATATCTTTTCAATATGAACACATTACAAGTAAATCACATTTTTGAAAACTCAAAAACCACCACCAGAAGGTTTCCAATAAAATCCTATTAAATATACTGTTTAAACATATTGCTATTGAACTAAACATTTTATTGTATTCATATTATATATTAAACAACTGATTATTCTTGTTTTCATGTTAATGAAGGAACGTGAGTACAGAAAGATTCAACTGTGAAAATTGAATCCATATATGCATTCTTTAACATAAATTTACTGTATTTTGGTTAAATTGACAATACAGCTTTTATTTTTTTTCTGCCACATCTATATATGTACATCCTTATAAATTGAAGTTAAATTTTATTAATCCTTTTTTGTTAAAATATACTTCACTCAAAGAAAAGAAAAGTTTGTGAATATTGGGACCATTAATGCTGTTAATTTATGCTGGTAATTATTAGGTACATATGCTTATTCAATTGGCAAATTATTAATATATAGGTTTATAGACATAAAATATTTTAGTCTGGATTTGGTTTACATACATTCATTGTATTAAAGTTATGTTTAGGTAGCCAGCATTTCTGCTGTGAACTTATTTCAAAGGGGTGTTAAGTTGTACATTTGTTGTTATATTTTTTGAAGGATGTGTAGTAATGTTTTTTATTGTATTTATTTATAATTGTAGTTGTTTAATATAATTTGCACAATGGATGCTTATAAATGATTGTTTTCATACTGTAGCTTATGAAATAGGTGAGATGAATGTTTTATCTTGCACTGAAATGATTAAAGGAAAATGGTGTATCTCAAGCATTGTTTTAATGATAAGATTTTTCTATCAAGATTTAAAGGTTGGGAGACATTGTGATGCCATAGCTACAGTCTTTCTACTTTATACTGTTTCTCACTTAATATTTACAGATTCCTAAGAAGGCACAAACAAAACATATTTTGCAATCAATGAAGTGTTTTGTTATGGATATGCTATTTTTTGTCAAGTAATTTTGTATTTAGTAAGCATTTACTTCACTGAAAAAAATGTGGAACAAAATGCCAATTTTATCAGGATGCATTAAAAATGTTATTATTTTATTTGATTACACAAATGAGTAAAAACCTTGGTTTTATAGCGCATAATATACAGTACATGTCAACACCTTAGAAATAAAAAACAAAAATCCTATTTAAATGATTTCAGTTACAGTTGAAAGATGATGCGAGTCTTGGAGTATTTGGGTAAAAAGACTGATAAACATACAATCGGGAATGGATGTTGGCAGGAAGATGAGACTAAGAGTACCATTTCAGTTATTTTTGAAGACTTATAGGGTGTTGATGCTTAATTTATTTAAATGCAGTAAATGTTATGAGAATGGTGTTAAAAACAATACAATTTCTAATTTTTCTTTTAGGAGTCATTCATAAAAAAATTGAAATAGACTGAAGAAGTGCAAATGCATATTTCTCCATTTTCATGCTTATAATAAAGCTGGAAGTTTGTGTTAGTTATTGTATTCTGACAGCAGAATCTTATCCCAGACCATTTACGGTATATTCCTGTTTTGAACAAAAATAGTTTATTTTCACAGTTGCAAACAACTATGACCTCCGGATCGTAGTTTTTGTATGACTGCCATGGAAAAACATCTTTTTTTTAGGTTAGTCTGATGATTTTATCTGAGTGTTTACAAGCCAAGAACAGCCCATGTTGCCCCACTATTAACAATATGACTATGAATTATATCACCCAGTGAAAGGGTGAAAGTTTACTTTAGCCATCCTAGAGGGCCATTTGTTCCAGGAGTAGGGTAAATGCTGACTAATTACAAACTACTATAACAATTTTTTTTTCATACTTGGGGAGCATACTGAGTTTATAATGTTTAGTTTTAAGCATTTTTCCTTTCAGAAAAAAATCTCAATAGTTAAGAAATGTATAATGAAATATTTTGCACATAGAAAAAGAGAAAGAGATGCCTTTTACATTTTCTTGTCTTCCAGAAAAACAAATATGAATGACACAAAAGGCAGTGAATGGAACAAAGTTTAGTGATTCCTTGAAGATCTTAATAAAGATTATCTTTACTGTTGATTTGTTTTTGCATTGTTTTAATTTATTATTTAAAATCCTTATTATTTAAAATTTAAAATAAATTCCTTATTTATTTAACAAATGAAGGAATTATCGCACACACACTCATTGTAACCTTTGTTACTAAATTAAGTTTTGTGAGTTTTGTAATCTTACAAATGTCTGTCTTTTAGTGCTTTATCTTCACTTAATAGTTCTGATTTGTTATAGATGTTCTTTTCATACCAATTACCAGCAAAAGTGTTAATTGTATGAGAACCACAATTACTGACGAATTAATCTGAAATATCTGATAATTCAGTTAGTACCATGGTAATAAAAGCTACTTTTAGAGTGCTAATGTAAGACATATCTAATATCTTATATACAGTATGTGACTATACAGGGTATAAAAGAATTGCTAATTATGTATTTCATCAAAGGCCTTTGCATTTGAAGAAGCCAGGTATCCTTCAACTGATCTTGGTAGTACCAGTATATCATGCATGAAAAGATAAAATGACCTTTGTGATGAACATCACCAAGACATCTCCCCTGTCGACCCACTTTGGACAGTAACTATTTTGACCTGAAATCCAAATCCTGTGCTACAATGTACCTAATAATTAACAGCTTAAATTAACTTCTATATCATACATAATGAAAGCACAGTAGTATGTTTTGCATCAATATCTCTTTGGCACATATATCCTATTTATATTTTAAACAGTGACCAAGCTCAGTTAAGATAAGCCCATAACCTATTTGAGAAATAAAGATCACCTGGTTGCTGTCAATACGCCTGAAGGTGGCTTATCTGTGAGAACAGAACAGTGTGAGATATTATGCTTCAACAATAAGCAGACCAAACCAGATAGTGCAGGAAACCAGCTCTATAATAGACAGACCATATCTCGGAAGACAGAAGATCAACACAAAAGACCAGGACCATCAGTAGTGAGCTGATACACATTTTGTCAAACTTTTGACAGGTGTCATGCCCCCATTTCTAAGTCCATATTTGAGAATCTACCCAGCCCCCTCCCCTACACCATAGATTGACGGGGGACATGTGTGTTTGCTGCCACGGGGTGTGCGACGTGCCCGGTCATGTTGTCGCCCGAGTTTCGGTGTGTCTATTACGGTCCTAAGGTGATGCGGACCTATGGCGGTGTGCATGGGCTGGTGTGAAGCTGAACCACCAAGAGGTGCGCGAGTGGCTGTCTAAGCATTACGTTTACACGATGCACAAACTTAAAACTCAAGTTTAAAACTTAAAAAATTGTGTGTAGTGCTTTGTACTCTAAAACCAGGGTTGATGGGGAGAGCCGGCCACGCACGCTCACAAGCACACATTTTGGTAAAGAACGCTTACTAGACAACAGAAATAAAATTTGATCTTTTTATTTGCTTCAGGGAAATTGATCCTTTCACTGTTACAAAAGAATCTCTGTGATAAAATTCATAAACAAAGTACACAAGAGCTCTGAGCACTCCATGACCCAACTTTTAAATTCTGGTGCAGAAAATGAGACGCGCAGTATATTTTGGGATCCACATCCTTGAGCACTGCACATGTAGAATGGTGAGATACTGAATCATCTTTAATTAGTTTCGCCAGTTCATTTATTTCTCGCTCGGTTTCTGGGGTAATATTATAAGGCTCCTGGAGTCGGGCACTCCACAGCACCACTCCCAAAAATTTGGACACGCTTAGAGAATCATAAATCTGATGAGGAGTACCCAACACTCTAATTCACATGCAAAGCAATTATCAATTGAAATATCTTTGAAACAGTGGTTGAAAATGCAACAAACTACAGATTTGATCACATTGTTCATAATGAAATATACATTAGGTGTATCATCGCGATTTTCATAGCTGGGATTATTAACACACATACATAGACATGAAAAATTCATTTGTGTGGGTGATTTGGTTGCGGAAGAAGCCTTGGGATTCTATTGAAAAAAAAAACAGAGATAAGGAAAGCTTAACTTAAGCTTAGCTTAAGTGATACATTGATACAAGTGATAGATGGTAGTGATGGTTAGAAAATGCATAATTACCATTTGCAATTGATCGGTTGGCTGAGGTGTAGCGGAGTCAGTATTGCTCTTGAGGGGTATTGCTCTTGTTGCTGCATTCCTCAGTGTCCGAAGAACAGCTATCTCCATTCATATTGCAGGGTGAGATAGCGGGGGTTTGCGCGTCATTCTCCAAAAGCTGGGTAATGGAAGAGACAACAGGGCCGAGCGTGTTATTCATCTGTCCTCAAAATGTATTCAAAACACTGTTACTCCTCCAGGTCTAGAGGTCCATTTTTTCTTAGGCGCCTGGCTTGTCTGTTTTTCACAGTGATTGAGGATCGTTGGGTGCGGACAGGATGAATTGCTTCATTACTCTTCTCTCCTACCCACTGAGAGCTGATGTATGGTGATCGTTCTGGCGCACTATGGGTGCCGTCGCATCATCCAGGTGGGTGCTGCACATTGGTGGTTGTGGAGGGGAGTCCCATTACCTGTAAAGCGCTTTGAGTGGAGTGTCCTGAAAAGCGCTATATAAGTGTAAGCAGTTATTATTATTATTATTCAACCGCAGAGGAAGCGGAATGCAGGCTATGAAGCGGAATGATTCAGACCTATCTATCGGGCCTCTAGCTCTCCATGGGCATCCCCCCCTCTTACGGTCACTAAATCAACTGGCTGATAACGGACCACGTTATAGGCCCATCCCCATGCATCCCTTACTTCTCTGACTGAATTTTTTTTTTCTCATGATCAAAAACCTACTATGAAAGAAAATATAAACCGTATCATGATCATTTATTCCATGTTGAAGAGAGTAAAAATAAAATGCAATGTTTCCTCTGTGGAGCCTTCTTTGCGTGTGACTTTTTCCTTTGCAGTCTACGCATGTTGACGCAGCTACCCACATGATATGATGAAAATGTAAATCTACTCTAGCTTTTTTTTAAAAAACTTTATTTTTGATGCATTTTATTATTACAACAGCCAAGGACAGTGAAAGTTATTTGGTTGGAGACAATAACAGTTGCATTTTTTGTCCTTTAGAGGTGTATTTTCACATTTTCCCCCTCCCCCTCCCTCTGTCATCGCAGACCGCTTACCATCTCTGTGCTTTTACCTGCACATCTCTTTCACAAAATGAGTTCAATTTGAAAAAAATATATAATTAAAGGTAGCAAGAAGGAAGTATACATTAGTATTTTTTATGTAAAAGAAGGTAGACTGCATAAATGACATTTCCAAAGAAACGTAAGCATTTCGACAAGAAAACATTATGTTCATTTTACACACATGCTAAATCTTACTTCGTCATAATACTACAACAGTGAGTTAACTTCTTTAATTTCAGTAACCTAAAAGTATTTGAGGTTTAAAGTGTTGCATGTAAGTGCCCCCTTCTTCTGATAAGAGTGGAATGCAGATCCACAGGGCACACTGATGCACCTCCACCTCTCAAAGTTTATTTTAAGAAAAAAAGATAAATCAATGTTTAAAAAAGCTGAAAGCCTATTTAAAATGAATGTGATTTCAATGCGTTTTAAAAAATAGAGAAACTGCGATACACGGTAGTCTTTAAAGGTTGGAATAAATGCCACCACATGTTCCCATTCATTCAAAACGATGAGTAAAGATGTACAAGAGTTTTCTTTTAAAGTCTTATTTCACTGTGAGATTTTTAACAGCCTGAAAAGCACCAGGTAATAAAAATAAAGCTTGTATTTTACAGTATTGCAGAGAGTGAAATTTACTTTTTTATTCACTCCAACATTCAGAAAAGTATTGGTTGCTTAAAGCACAGGTTCTATCAGACAGAGAATCAATCTTTTTTAAAGATCGATAATCCAGGAATGGAGAGCTGTTTTAAAAATCGATAAGCCAGGAATGCAGAGCTTATGGTACCTATTTAGCTTCACCCCTAACACCTTGTGTCCACTAACATCCATGGGAAACCACATGCTCAGTGTTAACCTTTTTTTAGCATTAATGCATGTTTTTTAGGTGACAAATTTGCTTATCGCTAATGGACTGAAGTGTTTGGGAGCACAATTCCATATTAAGAAAAAATAAAGCCACATTTTGAACAGTCCTGATATAACCTAAATGCATTTTTTATCGATCTGAAGTGTTGGGAGGCCATGGTACACAATTCCATATTTAGAAAATAAAGCCAAATTTTGCATACCAACTTGAGCATAAATATGCGCCCTCTGGATGCTTTCCAGCTACAGAGAAAAATGGCTAGTCACGAGTCATGCGAAATTGTTGAAGAAAGACTTTGACTGGATCAATGATTTCCAACCCTTTCTGAAAAGGGTGCCTTAACCCTAATGATACGTGAAAGTGTGCCAGTCAAAGTAATCCATCATCCATCTCCAGCCACTGACTTTGGCTATATTTTGGACAGCATGTCTAAGAGGTATAGGAAAAGTGATACTAAAGACTATGTCATGCAATGAACCTTTAATTTCTTGGAATGAAAAGGGTGAATTTGTGTACAACGGTGAGCCGGTGGTGGGCTCTCACATGATTGATCTGATGAGAGCTCTCATGCAACAGTACCAGAGAATAAAAAATCCAATGGCTGGGTCACATTCATGGAGGCAATGGCCCAAATTAATCTCCTGGCAACGTAACTTCCCAATGCTGGTAACAGAGAGCTGTTAGAAAAGCTGCGTTCTGAGGGTTGAACCATGTCTGTCAAGCCTGCCATGGGGCAACCAGCCGCTATTGCTTCCCACCACCGGGTATAACTGCGCGAACGTCTCAGACACCAAGACTGTTACCGAAACCTGCCTGGCTGACAGTGTCATTTTTTTCACTTTTGTAAGATCTATTGTGTTCATGTATTGTGGTTTTTCAAATTCTTTTGTGTGAACTTCATATCTAAAAGATTATAATAGATGCATAAAAAGCTACTCGTGTGTTACTTTTTGAATAATAAAATAAAATCAAAGTTTGTATTTCTGATACAATGTAAATTCACAGTCA